TCCATAGAGTTTGGACGATTCCGATGTTTTGGCTGAATTTCAAGTAAAAGAACGAATGACCCACAATGTGCACATCCGCCTACTTTCATAAGAAATTTCAAATATGTTCCCATCGCTTCTCTAACTTATGGTTACGTTGTAAGTATCTGCTAAACCTTTATTTATTCTATGTTGTATGTGTTTCAGGTTTGGTGAGGGAATCAGGACCAAAGAAAATGAATATGCGTGGGTGGCGGGAAAATTGCCTGGTCGGGAACCCCTTTGTGAGCCCGAACCTTTCGCGCGTCTTACGTACGTGGTAACGGCCTAAAATACCCGAGTCAGGTGCTGGCGTAGACCGGTTGCAAGCGTAAAACTCTGTCATCGAGCCAAATACGTCAAGTAAGAAACAAATAGAGACATAAGGCGTATGGAAATATCTATTTATGGAAAAAATCTTGGCTCTTTCTTGCGGGTACTTGTCCCAGGTCCAAAAGAAAATGTAGAGAATATTTTGACAATTGGGGAGGGTGCGCAATAGATGGAACCGTAGTAAACATTGGGCTTGCACGACCTGGTTGCGCTAATTTCCTTCCGCGGACTCATTTTCGCAAGGAAATTTTTGTAAAACAATGCCGAATATCCCTTTACCTATCCTAGAATAGACAGCTTCAATTAAGGTACACAAAATTTGATGAAATATTGAATTTTGATGGGTCTCTCAGTTTAACGCGAATTTTATCGAATTTTTTTGAATGGTTAAATTGTTGGCCGCGTGCCAGACATAGCGTATTGATACAAAGCGCTTTCATCTTGGTAATTTGCATGGTCGAATCATTTTAGCGTCGTGCAATATGATCTAAAATCTAATAGCCATCTGCTCACGAAGGATCGATAAAGTTCAATTTTCAAGATGTTGTCGATATGAAGTGATTTGTGTTCAGCCTGAAACGTTCGATCTCGTCTCATGACCTGCATTTTCCCGCCCAATGATCCTCAGTGCCACTCATTCATTACATACAATTTGAATAATTACTGACAATGCCTTGTGCGCAGGTAGCGTGCTGCCTGAGGCGACATTCCTGGCGCCCGGTCAGAAATTCTGACCAAGACGACGGCACCGTGTTTCTCAACCTTTCAAACAGAGACAGGTCATGGCAAAATCAATCATTTCACACGCATTTCGTCACTCGAGGACGCAGAAGAAGTGTCACTGTGTACCACACTGTACCTGCGCCTAACGTTTACCTGGGCACCCGTGTCCAAGTCACAAGATCCAGGCACGTGCACGGTAAATCCAAACAGTCTGGCGAGGGAAAAGTGCCAAGTATCTAAACAATGTTGACATTGGCGCGGTACCGGTGGTGAAATGTGGGAAGGGCAGGCAAAATTAAAACTTAACTTGCCCTCCGCTTAGAAATCAATTTGAGTCCATTTGTAAGATTTATTAGTACATGCTAGCAACGTATGAAAGCAAATGTCTCTGTCAAGAGTATTATTAATACTACCAGCACCATGCCAAACTACTCAAATGTAACGTTACTCAAAACAAATATACACACAATCATATCTACATTTTTCTTTGTACAAAGTCACTCACAGAATATTGGCAAATTTAAGGGGGGGAAATCCATTCGATCACTTGTACATTGGCACAATACGCATTATCCAAGTAATTATAATAAATAACACAAAGGCAATAAACGATAGATGTCACCATTACATTGAACCATTGCACTGTGCAACTGTGAATTATAATTTTAACAGTTTACCACTTACCCGAAATAAACCAGCAGCGATTTAAGATACGGCAATTACAAATGTATGTCCAAGAGATTTTTGTGGTTGTTGGGATACGAACAAGTACAAAACCTAGATTGATGGATTTTTTCTCGACCACTTCTATTCAATAAAGATTATTTTGTGTGGCAACCACAAGTTACTGGTTCTTTACCTCACCTATCACTCGTCCTGCGTTCTATGTTAAAAAAGAAATATCATGGCATATCAACCATAGCTGGCATAATTGCGTAACAACCAGTCATTAATTGCACAACCTACTGATGTTTAATTAACTTTCCCGAAATAAAATTTGATATACGTAAGGGGTCACGTACATGTCGTTCTGTGACGTAGCACCGTCATCTCGTTCCGGTCATGTTGACGTATGACGTCACGATTGGGGACATACGAGGTTCACTGTACGGTAATGTGCATACATGCGGAGGGCGTGTATTTGATTGTAATATATACTTTGTTTACAAATACTGCTGTGTTCTCTTTTCAGTGTTATACCGTATGGACCTGGCCAATGGGCGAGTTTAACTTGAAAAAGATAAGCAAAGAAAAAAGCTAATTTTACTTGGTTTAAGATGGTACCTTGCAGCTTTTCAGAGTTGAATTTTCTGTGGGAAACATGCACATATATACAGAAGCATACTAGAGAAGTAGCTCAAAGTTCAAATTGCATGGCCCATGACGCCCAAAACGTAAGACGAGATCACATGAGACCCATCCGCGGACGTATTTGGGAACGTCACGATGATTGTGCCTGACTGCCAACACGGATATCGGACACGTGGGAACGTTGTACTGGTCATATGTACCAGGGCTAGGCTTTAAATGTCATCTCTAAATTTGCATGTCTGAAACGGTCTCCAGATGCATTCGTATGATATCACGGTTTGAACGTAAACTTGGGACAAACTAGCTAGAATGCCACGCAAATACAACATTGGTCATGTTAAATATTAATGGTTTATATCAAGTAGGTCAAACTACGTAAATTGTCTTTGGAAAAAAATGTTGTTTTTTCATGATGCTTATTTTGCACAAGGTTTTTGGGTTAGGAAATTCAAGGAGATTACATGCTGTATCGAAGGTTAGTTTGGGGTCCCAACAGGCAACCTGACCCTAGTAACCGGAAATACAACAAGGTCAAATCACATTTTTACATTCTTCCCAGTTCTCTTGCCAGATTCAGACCTTTGACACAACTTCAAACAGATCCCTGACCCTTTATAGTTATATTCAACCTTTATATTTTAGGTAAATGTCAGATCTATTTGTGGTGCATATATGTGGCTTCCC